CGAGGGGGCGTGTGCGGGCCGCGGCCGCCGCTCACCTTCCTCTTGGGCATCTTGGCGGCGGGCAGGACGCGCACCGGGTGCCTGCAGGCAGCGGCACGGGGAGCCTTCGCGAAGCCGGGCTGCCGAACCGCTCCCGCTCCTCCCGCCGCCGGAGCTGCTGAGACCGCGGCGGGGGCGGTGGGAGACCCGGGTGGAACCGGATTGGGAGCCCGCCTCCTCCTCGCCCCCCCCCGTCCAGGTGCGGGCTCCCCCTCTTCGCCGGCCGGGCCGCAACAAAGTAATAGTAGCGGATTTCTTTTCTTTTTTTTAGTTGGAGTCTCACTCCGTCGCCCAGTCTGGAGTGCAGTGGCTGGCTCACCGCCACCCCTGCGTCGATCCGCTGGGCTCTGGCCATCCTCCCGCCTCAACTTTCCAAGCAGCCGAACTACCGGCGTACACTACCACGCCCGGCTAATTTTATTTTTTATTGTAGAGACGAGCTCTCGCCAAGTTGCCCGGGCTGGTCTTGAACCCTCAGGCTCTGGCAGTCCACTCGCTGCGGCCTTCCAAAGTGTAGGAATTCCAGTAAGGCTGAACCGCTGAGCCCGGCCTACTAGGGGATTTCAGTACCCTACTTTTAACAATAGACAGATAGTCCAGATGTAAAATAAATAAGGAAACAGTGGACTTGATCAACACTGTAAACCAAATGCGTCTAACCGACATACAGAACATTAATCTGACAGCAGTGCAATGTACATTCTCCTTAAGTGCATGTGGGATATTGACCACGATATATTAGATATTTGGTCACAAACCAAGTCTTTTAAGAAATTTAAGAAGACCGAAATCACATCAAGTATCTTTTCCAACCACAATCCTATGAAACTAGAAATCAATAACAGGAGTAAAATTGACTCACAAATTTGTGTTAATTAAGCAACACACACCTGAACAACAATAACTGATCAAAGAAGAAATCAAAATGGAAGTATAGAAAATCTTGAAACAAATGAAATGAAAATACCACATACCAAAACTATAGGATCTAGTAAAAGTTGCTCCGAGGGACAGTTATAGCAATAAATGCCTACATTAATAAGAAAAAAAATCTCTAACAACCTAACATTACCTTCAAGGAACAAGAAAAAGGAAGAACAAATTAAGCCCCAACTTAGCAGAAGGAAGGAAAGAACACAAATTAGAGCTGAAATAAATGAAATGGAGACTAGAAAAAACAATACAAAAGATCAATGAAACTACGCCTTGGGTTGTTTTTCTTTTTAAAGATAAATGAGATTGACAAACCTTTAGCCTAAGAAAATAAGATGGAAGACTCAAAAACATAAAATTATAAATGAAGAGACATACAGCAGATACCACAGAAATACAAAAGATCACAAGAGACTATTATGAATAATTATATGCCAACAAGTTGGGTAACCTAGAAGAAATAGATATGTTCTAGAAACAATCATGAAGAAATAGAAAATTTAAGCATATCAATATAGGCATGAGATTGAATCAGTAGTCAAAAATTCTTCCAACAAAGGAAAGCCCAGGACCAGATACTTTCATTGGTGAATTCTACCAAACATTTAAAAAGAATAAATGCTGGGTTCAGTGGCTCAGCCTGTAATCCCAGCATTTTGGGAGGCCGAGGTGAGTGGTGAGTGGTGAGTGGATTGCCTGAGCCCGTGAGTTGGCCCCGGCAACTTGGTGAGACCTCTTCTCTACAATAAATCAAAAATTAGCTGGATGTGGTAACGTGCACCTCTAGTTCCAGCTACTTAGAAGGCTGAGGTGGAAGGATAGCTGGAGCCCAGCCAGTCGACGCTGGGGTGGCTGTGAGTGTGCCACTGCACTCCAGCCTGGGCAACAGTGAGACTCCAACTCAAAAGAAAAATAAAAAGAAGTAGAAGAAATGCCAGTATTTCTCAAACTCTTCCAAAAAATTGAAAAGGAAGAAACATTTCCAAACTCATTTTATGAGGCCAGCCTTACTCTAATACCAAAGCCAGACAGGAGCACAAGCAAAGAACATTAAAGGCCAATATCTCTGATGAGCATATGGACAACTAATCTTCAACAAAAATGCCAAGGATACACAATAAGGAAAGGTTAGTCTGTTCAATCAAAGGCATTGGGAAAACTGGATATCCACATGCAAAAAAATAAAGAAAGAAAAAGAAAGAAAGGAAGAAAGTAGACTCTTACACTGAACACAAAAATCAACTCACAATGGATTAAATAAAGACTTAAATGCAAGATCTGAATCTATAAAACTCCTAGAAAAAAACATAGGGAAAAAGTTCCTTGACATTGTCCTTGACAGTGATTTTTTGGATAGCACATTAACAGCACAAATGAAAGCAAAAATAAGTGAGATTGCATCAAACTAAAAAGCTTCTGCACAGCAAACTACAATAGCACTTGCAAATTGTATATCTAGCAAGGGGTAGATATCCAAAATATAAAAGAAACTCTTAACAACTGAAGAAAAAGGCAGAAAGAAAACCCAAAAAACCTGATGAAAAACCAGGCAAAGGACCTGACTAGATATTTCTGCAAAGAAGACATACAAATGGTCAACATGTATACAAAAAGATGCTCAACATCTCTAATCATCAGGGAAGCAAATCAAAACCACAGTGAAGCTGGGCTCAGTGGCTCAGCCTGTAATCCCACACTTTGGGAGGCTGAGGTGAGTGGATTGCCTCAGCCCGCGGGTTCAAGACCTGTCTGGGCAACTTGGTGAGACCTCGTCTCTACAATAAATCAAAAAATTAGCCGGGCGTGGTAGCGCATGACTTTAATTCCAGCTACTTGGAAGGCTGAGGCGGAAGGATTGCCGGAGCCCAGCAGGTCAAGGCTGCGGTGACTGGGAGCGGCCACTGCACTCCAGTCTAGGTGACAGAGTGAGACTCCAACTCAAAAAAAAAAAAAAAAAACCCAAAAAACAAAAAAACAAAAACCACAGTGAGATAGCGCCTCTTGCCTGTTGAGATGACTGTTATCAAAAAGACTAAAAAGAAGTGTTATTGAGCATGTACAGAAAAGGGAACCCTTGGATACTGGGAAAGTCAATGGTACAGTTAATATAAAACAATTATGGAGTTTCCTTTAAAAATTAAAGATAGAACTACCACAAGATCCAGCAACCCTACTTCTGGGACTATATCCAAAAACATTGAAATCAGGACCTGGAAGAGACATCTGCACTTCCAAGTTCATTGCAGCACTATTCACAACAGCCAAAATATGGAAATGACCTAAATGCCCATCAATGGATGAATAAAGATAAAATTGTGGTATAGACCTACAATGGAATATTTTTTATTTTTATTTTATTTATTTATTTTTTTGAGTTGGAGTCTCACTCTGTCGCCCAGACTGGAGTGCAGTGGCTGCTCCT